TTATATTATTTTCATACATTGTTGTGCATATGATATTTCCTTTGGCAGCTAAATTAAAAAATGATGTCCATTTTTTTATCAAACTTAAGGTATACGATATAAATTATAACTTTTTTAAATGTAATTATTTTATGATAAATTTTAGATATTCATAATCTGGAAATATTAACGAATCTGAATATATATTTTTTAAAGTTGAGTTATTAAAATTACAAATTTTTTAAGCAATAAAACTCGGGTTAAAATTTTAATCCTTCAACAAAGGACCTAGGGGTCTATTGTTCAAGGAGGGATTGCAATATAATTTCCAAACTTAACAGAAATTTTCTACAAACTATTATGTTTTTTTTTGCTGTTTTACACGTATATCGTGAGAGACGGTTTGTTGATCTTATATACCTTTAAAACTATTGTTAAAGTACTTTAAAAAAGTCTTCTTATGGGTTATCAGGTAGTGGTACTGAAGTGGAACTCAAGCCAAGTCCAATTCAGTACCATTCCAGTACCACTCTTTCGGTAGGGCAATTACGTATACGATTTTGTATAGGAAACCATATGGCTTCCTATATAGGGACCCATGTGGTTTCCCATATGGGAGCCTATGTGGGGATTTTCAATAGGGTTTCGTCAAAAATGAGCGTTAATATTTAAATTATAGGTATGTAAATCTTATTTGTCATAAAACACAAACATTGAAAATGTTTAAATTGTATTTTACAAAAAAAATTAATAAGTAAAACACTATTTTACACAAAGGGGAAATTAATTTCGGATCTCCTTTAAGTTTTTTATCATGCTTTTAGAATAGAACAGCTGTTACGTTGTGGAAATGAACATAACCTATTGAGATAAAGCCACTTGATTGGTCAAAATAATTAGCGCGTGATAATTTTAAAATGTCATTCAACTTAATAACACTTAAATATTACAATATATTATTTTCCTTTGTTATTAATAAATATAATTTATAAAAAAGAAAAATAAACATAATACAACTGTAGGTAGTGAAAAATATTGTTTCTGAAGAAATTTTTTGATGGTTTTTTTAAATTTATGATTTACAGAATGTAATTTTTTAAATTACCATTTCAGTAACTATATTAAAAGACTGGAAAATTTCTTTTCACTAACTTTAAATTATAATTAACAATTTATCAGAAATTTAAATTATGTATCTAAAAAGTTTATAAAATAAAGACCTTAAATAAAATCCATTGATAAAGTATTTTATCAACATATAATGAATTATAAGCAAACTAGCAAAATTAAACGCGCGAAATTAGGGATGTAATTGTTTATTATAAAGAAATTAAAATTAATATTATCAATAATATTTTTAATTTATTATAATATTATTACATTGTTAATAATAAATAATGAAAATTATATTTTTATATAATTAATATTTAATAGAATTGAGAGGAAGCTGAAGTACGCAACATTTATCAATAAAAACATTTTTTTTAAAAAGTTAAATATTACGTCTAAATTACATATATTTAACATAGGCGGAATAGTTATTTGAAGAATGCTTTAATATGTAATTTAGGCTTAATATACAACTTTTAAAAAAAATTTCTTGGTAAACGTTGTGTACTTCATCTTCTTGAATTAAATTCTATTTAAATATTTAACATAATCAATTTTTTTTAATTTAATTTTTTTCTGAATCATCTTCTTTTTCATCATTTTTATTAATTTTTTTAACTCTCTCAATTCCTTTGCGCAAATATTCATTGTCCACATTTTGTTCCAGTTTTTTAATGTCGCTGACATCGTTAATCGAAATATAAGGAGGATCTGTAGAAAAACAACTTTATTTTTAATCAATATTTTACATATATAAATATATGAATTCAATTATTTTTTTATAAATCCATAATTTTTCAAACATGATATCGAGGAAATTATTTTATCAAAGATTCTAAAAAATTTAATTTTTAAAAACTTTAAGAAAATAAATTTTTTATAATAATTTTTATTTATTAAGTTTTATTACATTAAAGGTAGAAAAAATGATTTTATCTTAATAATTAATTATTTGTAAAAAAACGTTTGTTGATCTTTTTGAAAGATTATAAATAAATATTTCCCTACCGAAAGAGTGGTACTGGAATGGTACTGAATTGGACTTGGCTTGAGTTCCACTTCAGTACCACTACCTGATAACCCATAAGAAGACATTTTTAAAGTACTTTAACAATAGTTTTAAAGGTATGTTAGAACAGCAAAACGTCTCTCACGATATCCGTGTAAAACAGCAAAAAAAAAACATAATAGTTTGTAGAAAATTTCAGTTAAGTTTGGAAATTATATTGCAATAATCCCTCCTTGAACAATAGACTCCAAGGTCCTTTGTTGAAGGATTACAATTTTAACCCGAGTTTTATTGCTTAAAAAATTTGTAATTTTCATAACTCAACTTTAAAAAATATATATTGAGATTCGTTAATATTTCCAGATTATGAATATCTAAAATTTATCATAAAATAATTACATATAAAAAAGTTATAATTTATCTCGTATACCTTAAGTTTGATAAAAAAATGGACATCATTTTTGAATTTAGCTGCTTTTCACTTTTATGAGGGTTTTAACGGTAACTCGACCCTTTTCGCAGGTAAATTTCCCAGTTCCATTTCAGTACCAAAATGCACCAAATTAGTACTGAGTTGGTACTGAGCCCTCAGTTCCAATTTCCCAGTACCAATCCAGTACCACTCTATCGGTAGGGTTGTATATGTCATTTTCTAATAAAAAACAATTTATGCTCTCACGATATTTTGTTTAAAAATAATAAAATTAATAATGCAATGTTTAAAAATTCTGTCAGCCATAAGTTAAGATTAGTCAATTTTTAGTCGGATTAATAAAAAAACATTCAAAAAATGGTCAAATATCAAATTAAAAAATTGAATAAAAAATTTGATGTTACGGAGTGAAGTTTTAATACTAGTTTTCATTCAATTTTCTTTAATGATCTGATTTAAATTTTTAAGTCTTTTTGTATGTCTGGCAGAATGTTTATTAATTAAAATAATTCTATTATTTTGAAACAAAAATACCGTCTAAAATCATGCACGCGTGATTTGCTCTTTTTAAAAAATTAATAAAAATTTATATTTAAATATCTGTCGATAATTTTTCAGAAATTCTTCAAGAAAATTTTTGATTTAAAATTTAAATTGATAATTTTTAATATAACATATACCGGTAAAGGTCTTGTAAAAATTTCTTATCATCAAAATATTTATCATTAAATAAAATTTTTTATTTTTTATTATATAATAATAAATAATAATAATTATTATTAATCTATTATATGAAATATATAAATTTTCAATTGCCTATAAGAAACAAAAATATTTTGCAAAAAAAAATTATAACCAAAAAATAATAAAAATATTTGTTATTAAATGAAATTTTTTATTTTTTATTATTATATAATAATAAATAATAATTATTATTAATAAATTTAAATTAATAAATAAGAAACAAAAATATTTTGCAAAAAAAAATTATAACCAAAAAATAATAAAAATATTTGTTATTAAATGAAATTTTTTATTTTTTATTATTATATAATAATAAATAATAATTATTATTAATAAATTTAAATTAATAAATAATATTTATTTATTTAAATTTAATATTTAATATATATTATTCAATATTCCTAATTAATTAATTAATGTAACATATATAAATATATATAAAATATAATAATTTAATTTTTATTTTAAATAAAAATTATTTTAAAAAATTTTATATTAAGTTAATATTTAAAAATAAAAATTATTAAAAAAAAATTAATATTTAGTCAAAATTAAAAATTTATATGTATCAGATAACCAGCGTACTAGTACGATGCAAGTACAATACGAGTACGGCGTACTAAGCGTACTAGTACTTTACCCGCCATCTACCTCCGTAGGGTACCAGGTACTGTACTGGTACGTCGTATTATTACGCTGTACTGGTACAATACTAGTACGATCAAAGTATGACGTACTAAAAGACTTTAATAATTCAGTATATCGGTTATTCTACTCGTACAATACTAGTATGATGTACAATATAAAATATTATATACCCTCCCCTTTCTCTTCTCACAATAGTATTTTAATTATTTTCATTTATTATTGAAAAGAAAATTTTTTATTCAATAATTTTTTTTATTTATATCATATATTGTTAAAACAAACACCAATTACACTTTGAACAGATTTTATTTTCACTTAATTACAAAAGTTATAACAAAGATGAATGCTGAAACGATACTGAGTCTTCAAATTTCTTTTTCTTCTCCTTTTGGTGGTTTCCTCAACTCGCCCCTCTCCTGCTTGTGTATAACTACCTGTAAAAACAAAGGATATCCGGAAAGGGTGTTGACCATACTCTCAGGTCAAGTTTTCATTTTATTATGTCTTCAGAATAGGATTCTGAGGTAGACCATTAGGAAAATGTTCCCTTAGTCAATTACAAGTGTCTAGACACATGCACAAGGGTGCAATCGAGAGAAACAATAGGCAAGGGCCTTTAATAGTATAATAGGCAAGGGCCTAAATGTAATACAATAGGCAAGGGCCTCAATAGTATAATAGGCAAGGGCCTTCGTGAAATTTTCCATAATGCAATGTGACTCAACTCGACCAAAAAACCAACACAAAACAACAACTTAAATAAAATATATTTACAGGTCACTAACATACCGCCCGCCTCGTTCTTTTAGGAACGAAATTCTACCTATGAATTAAATTGTTAAAATTGTCTCCGCCCGCCATGACGTAACCCTGTTTTTTTTATACAGGAAGTTTACACAGCTTTGTAATGGGCTTTCGACAATTTCCCATTTGTGTTTTTAGTGTAACAACTCTTACTAGTTCATCCTTTCCCTTATGACATTCCATGACTCTACCCATTCTCCACTTTGATTTAGGCAAAGTAGTATCACGAATTAAAACCAAATCTCCTACTTTTAAATTGTCTCTTTTTTTAGTTCACTTATATCGTTGTTGAAGAGTATGTTGATACTCAACAGACAATCTCTTCCAAAACTGTTCCGTAATACATTGAACCTTTTGCCATCTCGAAAGCCGACTTTCGTTCAAATTCAATACAGTGTGCTCAGGTACTGATATTAATGGCCTGCCGATAAGAAAATGGCCAGGGGTTAAATAATTCAAATCATTAGCATCATTTGATAATGGACCTAGCGGTCTAGAGTTAACGCAAGCTTCTACTTGGCACAATAAGGTTGACATTTCTTCGATAGTAAATGTATGTGTTCCAATCATTCTTCTCAAATGGTGTTTGATGCTTTTGACCCCTGCCTCCCTCAAACCTTCAAAATGTGGGGCAGCGGGGGGTATAAAACTCCATTTGATGTTATCTTGAGAAATGAAGTTACAAATCTCTTCATTCTTCGAAAGATTACGGAACGTTTGTTTTAAATGTCTATCTGCACCTTGAAAATTGGTTCCATTATCACTATATAGGTTAGACGGTAAGCCTCGACGTGAAACAAAACGTTTAAATGCAGACAGGAACCCATTTGAAGTATAATCTGACACTAATTCCAAATGTAACGCTCTTGTAACCATGCAAACAAATAAAGCTATATACGCCTTTTGAGCTTGATATCCGCGACCCTTTCCTAATCTTACCATTATAGGCCCAGCATAATCAAGACCGGTATGAAGGAAAGTCACACAAGGTGTAACTCTTGATTGTGGCAAATCTCCCATCATTTGATTCATAGGTTTAGCATTTTGTTTAGAACAAATTGAACAATTATGAATCACTTTTCGAACCAAATTCCTACCACCGATTATCCAAAAATTCTGTCTAAGCAAGTGCATTGTCAGTTGGGGTCCGCCATGAAGACATCTCAAATGAGTTTGTTCAATAAGGAGTTCACTAATTCGATCCTTTGGCAATATAATTGGATGTTTGGCATTCCAAGAGATAGGCGCAATTGCTTAATCGACCAGTAATTCTTAAAAGTCCATCACTGTCTAAAAATGGGTTTAATGATTTAAGTGGACTTGACCGACTAATTGACACTTCTTTAGAATGATTCTCACTTAAAATTTTAATCTCTTCTGAAAAGTATTGACCTTGAAGTTTTTTACACCAAAATTTCCTTGCTTGATTAATACAAATGGAATATTGATTTTCTTCTAAAGAGACTCTACCCTTTTTTCGGCACAAAGAAATAAACTTAAAACAATAAGCGGTGATTCTTAAAATTTTCGGCCAACTGGACTTATCTGTGATCAAATGTTCTAACAAGAAATTATTTTGCGAACTAATTACATTTAATAATTCGGCCGTATTTTCCCGAGTTTCACCAGGAGTAGTCGAAAGAGGGACAATCGTAGGCCACGTATGATCAGGTTCTTGTAGCCATTTAGGACCATGCCACCATATTGCGTGATTAACTAATTCAGATGGTGTTAAACCCCGGGAGGCACAGTCTGCGGGATTGTCTTTAGTATTTACGTAACGCCATTTAATTTCAGGTACAAGAGTGTGTACTTGGGAGACCCGATTAGCTACAAAAGTCCGCCATGAGGAGGGATGTTTGCTCAACCAAGCAAGAACAACGGTGGAATCCGTCCACCCATAAATATTCGAATTTTGTGTTCTCAAATCAGTTTTTATTTTAGTTATCAACTTCGCCAGCAACGCAACGGCACAGAGCTCAAGAGTAGGAACTGTTATTTGTTTTAGTGGAGCTACTTTAGTTTTGGAAAACATAATCGTGATTATAGGCTTCTCATTGTCATTCAAAACACGTAAATATACTACTGCTGCGTATGCTTTGGTGGACGCGTCTGCAAAACCATGAATTTCATATCTACTTTTCTTATTTTGACCAGTCCATCGGGGAATTGCTATCCTTTTCGCACCTTCAAGATTCAAGCAATAATTCTGCCATTGATTTAATATATCGGGTGGTAACACGTCATCCCAATCAATTTTCTTTAACCAAATGTCTTGCATTAAAATCTTAGTCACAATAATAATTGGAGCAATCCATCCAAGTGGATCGAACTGTCGCGAAATAACCGATAGAATTTTACGTTTAGACCACTTGTCGCACTTTTCAATTTTTACCGATAAAAGAAATTCATCACACTCGGGGTGCCAATGAAGTCCAAGAATAGCTTTATCAGAAGTATCACGGTCAACTAAACTAACATTGTCTGAATCACCATATATTTGATTTGATTTTAATAAAGCTAGGTTATTAGCATTAAATTTACGCAATGGAAAACCTCCCTTTTTTAATAATTCTATTAGGTCATCTTTAACTTTTAATGTTTCTTCAATGGTATCTGCACCAAAAAGGGCATCATCTACATAAATGTTTTCTTTTAAGATTAAACTCGCATCTGGGTAATTCTTGCCCTCGTCTTCAGCTAACTGTTTTAATACCCTATTAGCAAGATACGGCGCACAAGCCGTCCCATAAGTTACCGTTAATAACTGGCAATGTTGTAGAGTTCCGTCAGGTTCAGTTCGACAAACAATTCGCTGATAATCAACATCCCTTTCGTCAACTAGAATCTGTCTGAACATTTTACAAATATCGCCAGTTAAAGCAAATTTAAAGCTTCGCCAACGAATTATCATAGAAGTTATGTCATTATGTAACTTGGGACCGACCATTAATTGTTCATTTAACGAAGCACCGGAAGACGTTGGACTTGACGCATTAAAAACTAATCGTACTCGAGTAGTAGAGCTGTTTTCCTTTATAATAGGATGATAAGGTATGTATACAGGACAAGGATGTTTATTTAGTGAGGATGGATCTACTGCAATCGGTCTCATGTGATCTAACTCTTCATATTCTTTAAGGAAGTTATAAAATTCTCGCTCTAAATCAGGATTTCTCTTAAGATTGCGTTCTGTTTTCAATAACATAGAAATTGCAGAGTTAAAAGAGTTACCTAATAGAGATAAGGCATTTTTTTTAAAAGGTAATCGAACTATGTAACGACCTTCTGAATTACGGGTATGTGTATCGCGGAAGAATTTTTCACACATTTTTTCTTCTTCGGTCAAGAATTTCTTATCTATGAATTCTTCCAATTGCCAAAATCGAACAAGCTCTTCTTGTAAATCAGATAACTTTGTACAATGTTGCGATAAGACAATTGAATTATAATTCAAATTTGATTGATTCACTGTGCCTGAGAGGATCCATCCTAATAGAGTAGACTGTGCTACTGGACTACCTACTGGACCTTTTTTCACTTCCCCCAGTAGTAATAAACCGTAATAGTCTGCTCCTATTATTAACTGAACGTCATCTTTGTCAAAAGGGAACGGATCAGCAAAATGAAGTCCATGTAGATGTGTCCAATGTGGATCTAATGTCTCAAAGGTAGGGACATATCCCGTTAGCCTAGGTAAAACTAGAGCTGAGATTTTAACGGTTGTGTGTGGATAATGTATTGATGAAATTTCTGTTTCTATTCGCGATTTTACAGTACCAACGTAAGTCTTATCAATAGATTCCACTGTTATTGATTCGGGCATTCTTTTGATTTGAAGTGTCTGAACTAACTTGTTCGAAATAAAAGTCATTTGAGAACCCTGATCTAATAATGCACGAATAACAGTTTCACGCCCTTTTGAATCTCGTATTAGAATTTTTGCGGTAGGTAGCAAGCTGATAGGGGAAGTAATTCTTTGTCAATTTTTAGATGAATTTTGAGACTGACTGTGCCTCGTATTATCGTCATCCCTTTTTGAAGACGATGAAGAAGTTTGAAGACCTTCATTCTCGGCTTCCCCTTGGGAATCTTTTTTATTAGGGTTTCGATGTAGCATAGAATGATGTCGTTGTTTGCAATGCATACAATCATGTTTGCTGGTACATTTTCGTGCAATATGGCCCTGCCTGAGACAATTAAAACATAGTTTGTGTTTTTTAACTACCTCTAATCTTTTAATACCAGGAAGGGATTTAAATTGATCACATCTAAAGAGTAAATGTTTTTCACCACATAAACAACACTCATAATTCGGCAAAGTAATGTTAAATGATTTTACCGAATTTACATTGGATTGGTTTTTCTTTGGAAAATTATTGTTAGAATTTGAATTTTTTCGAGAATCAATATTTTTAAAGGTACCTAATGACGATTGAATAGCTTCCAATGTACGAATTCGAGTACTTAAAAAGGAATCAAGTTGTTTGTATGTGGGAAAGTCGTCGCTATCACCGAATTGTTTTTCCCATTCAATTAATGAAAATTTACTCAATTTTTTTACAGTAAGGACTACAAGAAGGTCATTTTCAATATCTCTGTCTAAATTTTTAAGAGCCCGTACAATTTCTGCGGTAACGTCACGTAAATTTTTAATCTCAGGAACAGAATCATTTTGAACTGATGGGAAAGCTAGGAGTTTATTGATAAGTGAATTAATAATCACACGCTTATTCTCGTATCTTTTGCTGAGCATTTCCCAAGCACTAGAAAAGTTTGCTTCTGTAACACTTAAGTGTTTCACAAGTTGGGCCGCTTGATCAGTCAAACTAGATTTTAGATAATGCAATTTCTAGGCATCATGTAAATTAATATTAGAAACTATTAGCGAATAGAAAATATCACGAAAATTAGGCCACTCGATATAATCACCGGAAAATTGAGGAATCTCAATTTTAGGCAATTTAACAAATCTACTCGTCTCAGTCATATTGAGAGAAGAACTCGAGGTACCAGCTGTACTTTGATCTCTACTCTTAACTTCAGAGACAAGCTGATTAAACTTATTCAAAATATCAAAATAAAGGCCTTCAGCTGTAATAAAACAATTATTAGAAAAATACTCAATCAATGACTTATCTGAGTCCTTTGCTGCAAGATGAATCTTCATATCCAATGTTTCACACCTCCTCCAAAGTCCCTGAAGGTGTTCGCGGCGGTCTTGAATTGTGTCCACAGAGAGACCATCGCTTTTCCGCTTCTTAAAACTTTCATGAATTCTTGTAATGCTCTTGACCACTGTTTCTTGCTCAATCAGTAGATCTTCCATTTTTCCAAACTTAGAATTATCCGGCTCGAAGGACCAAATTTATGTTAAAACAAACACCAATTACACTTTGAACAGATTTTATTTTCACTTAATTACAAAAGTTATAACAAAGATGAATATTGAAACGATACTGAGTCTTCAAATTTCTTTTTCTTCTCCTTTTGGTGGTTTCCTCAACTCGCCCCTCTCCTGCTTGTGTATAACTATCTGTAAAAACAAAGGATATCCGGAAAGGGTGTTGACCATACTCTCAGGTCAAGTTTTCATTTTATTATGTCTTCAGAATAGGATTCTGAGGTAGACCATTAGGAAAATGTTCCCTTAGTCAATTACAAGTGTCTAGACACATGCACAAGGGTGCAATCGAGAGAAACAATAGGCAAGGGCCTTTAATAGTATAATAGGCAAGGGCCTAAATGTAATACAATAGGCAAGGGCCTCAATAGTATAATAGGCAAGGGCCTTCGTGAAATTTTCCATAATGCAATGTGACTCAACTCGACCAAAAAACCAACACAAAACAACAACTTAAATAAAATATATTTACAGGTCACTAACATATATGTCTTTGCATATATTATATAAAATATGTAACTTGTATTCTCACTTATCTTAAAATATCCGATGTTTTATATTATTATTTAATTACTTAACATTATCAAATATTAATTGATTATTTGTTTACATTTAAACATTATTTCAAAAGAATTTTAAACTAGGATGTTTAAAATTGCTTTGATGTTAAGAAAAACATATTATCACAACCTAACCTATAAATATGTTATATGTATAAGAAAACCTATAACGAAATAACACACAATTAAATTTAAAAATATATTAATATGATCAAGACCGAATTTATGAATTTTTCTCAATATAAATGTATAAAAAAGATTATAAAAGAAAAGATTTTGATGTTTTTCAATGAAATAACACCATGGCACAAAGCGGCATGGCAAAGTAAAAGAATATAAATCTTATACAGATCGATAATTTAATATAAATTTAATCTCGGATATTCAATATAAGTGCAGAAGCACAAGTTACAAACGTTAAAACTCTTTTGCTGCATCATAAACCACTTTTTTCACCAACATTTATTACACCGTTTTCAGTGACGCGTTCATATTTGACAATATTTGACAATTGTCAAAAAAGTGAGGTTGGGTTGGCATTACCAGCAAAGATTCCCAGTACGACGTAACAGTATTATACTTGTATCGTACGAGTATGTTGTGCTTCTTATTTCAGAAGTACGACGTACTGGTATTGTACTAGTACTATACTTTTATCGAGTAATCATATTTTATAATTCTAACAGTACGACATACTTTTATTGTACTAGTACCGTACTGGTACGACATATATTATTATTTTGTACTTGTATAAAACTAATATAATACTGGTACTCCGTACTCGTAAATAACGATTAGTACGCTTGGTTATCTGGGTATATAGGGTCATTTGGGGTAAATGTAAACGGATTTGCTTAGTTTCGACAATAACGTAAGTTTTTTATTTTAAAAAGCAATACTTCCGGTTTTCTACTACATGAACTTGTTACTTCACTTCCCTAGAAACATGTTATGAGGTACAAAAAAATATTGATCAACTTGAATCGCTTAAAACTGACTGTTTACATTTACCCCGAGATTTTGAAATTTTCCCAAAATTCGGGGTAAATGTAAACACCCCTGTAGTTTAAAGAGGTTTAAGAAAAAAGTTATCCCAAGTATACTACTGTGTAAAGGGATGTAAAAACTGAATAAAAATTCTTGGTAGATGTAAAATAATTGAACCAATTGATTGATATGCAACATATAAAATAAGCAATCATTACCATAACAAAACTAGTAATGTAAAAACTTGAATAACTTCAATAAATTTTAATAGATTTTCATTCTATGAATAAGATGCTGAATAAGATTCTAAAATCGAATTTTTAAATTTCAAAATGGCGGATCCAAAATGGCGGACAAACATAAAAATATTGTTAAAAATTGATCAAATTTGCTTGAATCTCGCTACTCGGGGGTTTTTGAGGTCACTGAATACGAATTTCAATACAAATTTAAAATTTCCAAAATGGCGGATCAATCAACCAATCAATCCACCAATCAATCACTCAATCAACCAATCTATAAATCAATCATCCAAGCAACCAATCTATCCACCAATCAATCACTCAATCAACCAATCATCCAATCAATCCACCAATCAATCAATCAATCAAACAGTCAATCAATCAAGCAATCCACCAATCTATAAATCAATTATCCAATCAACCAATCAATCCACCAATTACTCAATCAACCAATCCATAAATCAATCGTCCAATCAATCCATCAATCTATCAATCAACCAATCAATCACTCACTCTTATTCTAGGATTCCTACGTACCTGAGTTTTATTCACCAATCGTGAAGAATCGCTTTCCTATATTTTAAACACGTAAATGCACTATGCAATACTATGCAAGTCTATACCTGCAACTGACTAACACGAAGGAGATATAAAAGAAGATCCAATTTCGTTTTTATGTAATTTTACAGGGCCAAAATAATGTAATTGTGAAATAGAAGCAAATTTATTCAATTATTTTCTTTTAAAATGCAGCAGAAATTCTGTTTACATTTACCCCGAGTTTTCGAATTCTCGGGGTAAATGTAAACACTTAATTATCTATTAACTGAATTGACGAAATTAAAAAATCAAAGTCAGCTTTTGTTAAGGGATTCATAAGGAATAATTAGAAATTTTAGTTTGAATTTTTAGTTCATTTTTATTCAAATGCGAGACAAAATACTGAAACAGTAAAACTTTGATTTTCAATCTTTCATGCATTAAGCGACAAATTGGAGTATGGCTTTGACAATTGTCGAAAAAAAAATTGGCAATACTCAGAACCTGTTGCAGATGAGCTGAGGTTAAAATATTGGGGTCGAACTTAATTTTAAATCTGTAAATTAAGCTGCAATATCTGCTGTTTACATTTACCCCTTGTTTACATTTTTCCCAAATGACCCTATATAATATAAATTTTTTTATCATATATTAGAATTTATCACTTGTTAAAATATTGAAATAAATATGGTGTGAATTTATTTTATAAATTTTTTTAATTATAATAACAAAAATAAATAAATATTTTGTGAAAAAAAAAATTTAATTTGTAATATATAATATAAATAATAAATATAATATAAATAAATAAATAATATAAAATTTTTTTTATTATTTTTAAAATTAATTAAATTATCGTGATTAATTAAATAAATTTTTGAAATTTGATAAAATCATTATATATTTTAAATTAAACTTACCATCAACTTATGCAGCTTCCTCTAACAGCAATCGAATCAATTTTTCTCACAATTCTTACAATTTTTTTGCACGATTCTAACAATTTTATAATTTTTAATAATTAAAATACGACCGCACAAATGACAATGTCAAAACATTGAAAAATTTTAACCAACATAAAATAATGTCAAAC